GTCGCACAGATGTTAGTGAAGGGGTTTATCCATAATTAGTTTAAAATTGCATCAGAACCGTCTGAATCCTAAAGACTGAGTGTGGAAAAAGAAACAAAATGTCAGAAACGGAACAAAGTTTGAGTTAAAAAGGATGGACGTTTATTTTTCATAAAAAAAGAAAGAAAAGCTGACTCTCCTAGAGCGATGGCTGTACGAACCAGGCGGTGCGGATCCCCCACCCACACTATTCAAGTAGCAAAAGCTCATTTTACAGATTTTGCTGGCCTTGCAGAAAATGCCTCTGTTCTTCATTTTCCATATTTCATACACGGCCCATTGAAAAGCGTCGTCTGCAAGTGTCGTGGTTTGGCACATTTATGAGAGATGCATCGGAGAAGTTTAGCCTTTCTGAAAGTCACCGTTCGCTGTATGATAATTCACTCCAGGTGTGTCGGTCGGAGGGTTTTGGATCAGAGCCAGGAATCCATCCATAAATGTGTTCAAGTAAATGTTTCCTTACCAAATAGCTGAGTGTTTCATCTTTAGTGAAAAACACAACGTACAGTTTGGAGGACTCTTCCTGCTACAGTGAACATATGAGGAAAAAAGATTACTACTTTATTTCCCCAAAAATGTATTATTAAATGTATTTCTTATATTTTTAATTAGTTATTTCCACATTTATTTAATGTTCATTTTGGCAAGAAGTGTCCACCATAGGACAGTTTGAACAAAACAGAATCATTGGAATAAAACTTTTCAAGCACTTTCAAGGTGAATGAAAAGATTCACTCATATTGTCTTCGTCTTCCTCCGCTTATCCGGGTCCGGGTCGCGGGGGCAGCATCCCAACTAGGGAGCTCCAGGCCGTCCTCTCCCCGGCCTTGTCCACCAGCTCCTCCGGCAGGACCCCAAGGCGTTCCCGGACCAGATTGGAGATGTAACCTCTCCAACGTGTCCTGGGTCGACCCGGGGGCCTTCTGCCGGCAGGACATGCCCGAAACACCTCCCCGGGGAGGCGTCCAGGAGGCATCCTGACCAGATGCCCAAACCACCTCAACTGGCTCCTTTCGATCCGGAGGAGCAGCGGTTCTACTCCGAGTCCCTCCCGAATGTCCGAGCTCCTCACCCTATCTCTAAGGCTGAGCCCGGCCACCCTACGGAGGAAACTCATTTCGGCCGCTTGTATCCGCGATCTCGTTCTTTCGGTCATTACCCAAAGCTCATGACCATAGGTGAGGATTGGGACGTAGATCGACCGGTAAATCGAGAGCCTGGCTTTCTGGCTCAGCTCCCTCTGAAGTATCTCGGGGTCTTGTTCACGAGTGAGGGTAGGAGGGATCGGGAGATCGACAGGCGGATTGGTTCGGCGTCTGCAGTGATGCGGACGCTGAGCCGATCTGTCGTGGGGAAGAGGGAGAGGGATTCACTCATATTGATTATTTAAAACTCAAAACTATTATTTATTGTCTCATGAAATAGAACTCCATTGTTCTTAATTAATGATTAAATAAAAATAATAAAAAACAGAGAAAAAAACAAGCTCAGTTGATTAATTCAAGCACCCATTAAAACATGGAAAATCCCTCCTGGACATTTAGGCAAACTTTTTTTTACATGAAACTTTTATTTATGTAATTTGACAAATCTAGGAACTAAGATCAAACATACAGTGAAAAATTATCTGCCAACTCATTCGACAAATTCATCTTTTCAGGTGTAAATTAGAAAAGACGATCAGAGCTCAACTTCACAGAAATGAAAGTAGGGCTGCAACAAACGATCATTTGGATAATCGATGAATCGGATGGGGTCTCGACACGATTAATCGATTAATCGGATTACATGGGGACATTTTTTAAAACTGCTAGGGAAACGTTATTTCCCTCCTTCCTTCACTTTATTAAACACAACATTATTAGAAAACAGTTCAATAGCAGAAAAACAACAGGCTACCACCTAAAATGTCTTACAGCTTCAGATAAGTTGCACTGCAAAGCAAAAATGTAAGCATATCAACATGCATAGGAAGTAAGGAAGTGTAGACTCCACCCAGCCCCTTCCATGTGTACCATGTGGTTTGCCAGACAACACCTCTTTCTGTCTCATTTTTCAAAAAATGAAAAACCAGAAATGAAGCCTTCAGAATACTTTGGAAGGGGATGAGCAAGGGAGGATAAGGTGTATAGACAGAGACCCTAAGCTACACCTAACTGTGACCTAAAACGCTTGGTCCAAGTTAAACAGCTTAAGGGCAATTCTCATCTGTCTTGTTTGATCTCATCTGTAGACATTTATTATAACTGAGGATGTCAAACAACTCATTTTTAAATGTAATTAAATATAGGCTGTGAATTAATCAAAATTAATCATTATTTCCAAAAATGACTGAAAAAATACCAAATAAAACAAAAAATAATGGATGCTGCCCTCCTTTCGATGATGCCCTGGGCAACCGCCATAAGGTCACATCAAGAAATGCTGCTGATCATTCCAATGATCCCAAATTCTATTTCCAAAACAACACCAACAACTGAACATTTTAAATAGACTCACATTAGGCCACATGAAAGCAACTGAACCCAAAAATACATTAACCAGTATATAACTGCACTCTCACACAACACGCCTGCAGCGACAGTTAGGACTCCTCCCTCCCTTTTAAAAGCGTTTTCACTTCCGAGGACATTGTGGTTGTAAAACCACATGCTAGTAGTCTGGCCCCGGTGTGATCAACCAGTTCCTGCAGGAATGTGACGGCTAGGGCTGCAACAACGAATCGATAAAATCAATAAAAATCGATAATTAAAAGTGTTGGCAACGAATTGCGTCATCGATTTGTTGTGTCGCACAACTCTTCCAGACCGCAGACCGGAGCAAGTAAGATCAGCGCGAGGGCGAGCTGGCAGGTGTTTGGAAGAGGAACATGGCAGAAGCAGCGAGACCCAAAAAAGTAAAAACTTCTAAAGTTTGGGAGCATTTTCAGTTAAATCAGGCGAAGACATTCGTTACCTGCAACGTTTGTAGGTCAGACTTAGCATGGCACGGGAGTACTACAGTGATGATGCAGCATCTTAAACGTAAGCATGTCAGAATCATCAGCGAGGAAGGAGAGAGCTCGGTGTCCGAGTAAGTTAAAAACTTTTCAAGAGTGATTCACCCAAGTCCCGGATTATTACACAGGCTAGACATGCCCTTAGCTCGTAAAGAAAATAAAGTCTATAAAATCGTGAGCGCGACGCTATTAGATAGAAGGGGCGGGGGTTTGGGGGGTTCTGCCGTCACATTCCCGCAGGAACTGGTTGATCACACCGGGGCCAGACTACTAGCATGTGGCTTTACAACCACAATGTCCTCAGAAGCGAAAACGCTTTTAAAAGGGAGGGAGGAGTCCTAACTGTTGCTGCAGGCGTGTTGTGTGAGAGTGCAGTTATATACTGGTTAATATATTTTTGGGTTCAGTTGCTTTCATGTGGCCTAATGTGAGTCTATTTGGGATCATTGGAATGATCAGCAGCATTTCTTGATGTGACTTTATGGCAGTTGCCCAGGGCATCATCACAAGGAGGATGGCATTCATTTACTTTTGTTTTATTTGGTATTTTTTCAGTCATTTTTGGAAATAGTGATCAATTTTGATTAATTCACAGCCTATGTTTAATTACATTTAAAATAAATGTCAACAGATGAGATCAAACAAAACAGATGAGAATTGCCCTTACGCTGTTTAACTTGGACCAAGCATTTTAGGTCACAGATAGGTGTAGCTTAGGGTCTCTGTCTATACACCTTATTTGGTGGGTTTGGAAGAGTTGTGCGACACAATGAATCGATGACGCAATTCGATTTCTATCGATTCGTTGTTGCAGCCCTAAATTAAACGTGGATCAGGATCCACCAGACTGTAAACACGGAGCTGGCTCTCCCCTCTAAGTAAAAAGTAGTAAATAAGACAAGCTGGAGCCGAACAAGTCTTCTGTCTCAAACCTCAGCTAGTGTTGGCGTCTCACCCTCGGGCACCTGCAGCAACTCGAGCAACTTTTGAGAAGATTTCCAATTTCTGGAATTAAAGCTGACTAAGAGAATGAGCAGAGCAACGTGGGGCCGCAGTTCTGCTGTGTCATCGTTTCCCCCTGGTGTAAAAAAGGAAAAAGAGCCACTTTCCTCCCAGGTGATAAGCAGGACAGAAAAGGTGGGAAACAGCCGAGTAACACTGATAGACAGTTTCTGAGCGAGCGAAACTCCAGAGTTCAAATCAAAAGCTGAAACTGCTCCATCAGCAGCGGGGGGTTTACGTGGATGAATGGACCTGATGGCTGAGGAGGGGTGGATGTCAAAGCAAGTGGCTGAGACGTGGCTAATGCCGCCAGTGAGCTGTGGCCACCTAAGTAATTACTACCGTTGCTGTTTGGCTAATCCTCCGAGCAGAGCAGGAAGCTCAGGAGAGAAAAGCCCAGACCTCAGAGGGACTCGGCGTTCGGCGGCCGAGCGACGAGTCGCTCAGGCGGACGCAGGAACGGAGACAGATCTGGTCTTATCTCAGGAAAAATACAAAGTTTACAGGCAGAAATGAAACAGGCGTTTCGTTTACCAAGGTCAAACAAAGGTAAATATCTTTGTTGGTGAATGCAAAACTTACTTAAAAATGTCTGTAAAACAAAGAAACTTAGAATAAAACAAAGAAAACTGAACAATAAGAACCATAAACTGTATGATGACCGCTGAGCTCAGGATAAAAGGATTTTATGTCCTCATTCGCAGCTTAAACCAGATGTTAAAACAGCTAGAAGGTTTGAAAAACAACAGAAACATTTAAAAATAGCTAGAAGTGTTTTAATAAGAGCCGAAACTTCATTTCCATGGATTTCTAAAGAATTCCTCCTAAAAGGCCAAAAGCTTTGAGCAACCTTTGATTTTTAAATAAACTTCTCCAAAGTTTGAAAACCACACGCAGACAAACAATGACAAAAACATTAAGAGCGTCAGTCCCAGAGAATGACCTTTGACCCTGAGGTTACCTTTGCGTTCGGAGCGCTTCTTCCGCCTCCTCTTAAACTTGCGTCGGACCAGACAGAAATAGGAGCCCAGACTCTGCGCTTCGTTGGTAAAGAGAGCCATGCTGGATCTAAAACCGACCAAGCGGCTCTGAAAATCCAACTTCAGGTTAAAACAGCTGCTGACATGAGCCCACCTGTCCCTCACCTCTGCCTGACCTGTCAGAGTCCAGCTACAGACGAGCAGGATGTTCAGCCTCACAACACCTGCAGCATTTCTTTGTTTCTGTTCCTTCTCTCAAACCCAAACTCCCTCCCTCTCTCGCCTCCTCCTCTAGCTGCTTCGCTCGTCCGCCGACTCCATGTCTGCCCTATCAGGAGGCGCGGAGCGGAGGTAATGGAGCAGGGTGTGAGGGAGCGGGAGGGGACGAGCTCAGAGGAACGACGTTATTAGGCAACAGAAGCAAAACCTTTAACTCAAAGTTGATCTCTGCACCAAACTTAACTTTAAGTTTTTATGCTGAAAACGGCGTAAAAGCTGCAAACAAAACTCTTTTTAATTATTTACTTTGATCATAATTAGGATATTTATCCCAAAAAACAAAAAAAAATCGTCTTTGCTCATGCATTCAGTTAAAACCTTAAAACAGAAACATCTGTAATGCTGAAATTATTCTTACAGTTAAACATTTTCTATAGTAACTCTATCAACTAAGAGTCTCTGCCTCCCTCTTGTGGTTGTGTTCTGCTATTGCACCGTTCTGAAACCAGCAGCTGCAGACTTCACATCCAACATCAGAGCGCAGTTGCTACTTTTGTTTGTTTTATTGATGCCAATCTCTTACAAATGTGTTGGGAAAAACAACAGATTTTTATTTTATTTATTTCTTTTAAGGAAAAAAATCTGAATAAAATCTGCAAACATTAGAAATCCATTGAAATGCATGAATGAAGCTCTGTCCCTTTTAAACAATATGAAAACATCAGACATAACTGGGTTTAGTCTGCAAATCAAACCTACAACATAACAAGCCTAACCGACCTATGTTTACCTCTAATGCAAGCTCATCTATCCGCTCAGAAACAGAAATCTCAAATCTCCCCTGAAAGTCATTGCTGTATCTACGATGTCTTTAAGATATCCTTTAGGTGACCTCAGGGCTTCAGTTTCCCTCCTTAAATAGTCCTATAGGCCACTAACAATGAACTCCTCGTTATTTTTAATACATCCGTTCCTTCTGGATTATAGCTGCTTTCTCATCTTACGAACAGGGACTGAACATTTAGGAGTAAGATATCTTTACAAGCTTTATACAGTTTCCAAATCGTAAAGTTTAAGCACTTTATTTCTTATACCATATTTTCCGGACTATAAGTCGCACTTTTTTTCATAGTCTGGCTGGTTCTGCGACTTATATAGCAAATGATGTATACCGTGCTGCTGCGGGCCGATGCGACCCAGGAATGAGCTCCCCTGTCCTGCTGGGAGGGCACCGCCATACTCTGCTGCAGCCTGTGGCGGGGTGCTGCCCCCTGGTGGTTCATTCTGTTATTGTTACCGGTACTTGTCTTGCAATGTGAAATGCTTGGTCTCAGATTTTGTAAGAAAAATAATAAAATTTCCCCCAAAATGCGACTTATAGTCCAGTGCGACACATGATTTTTTCTTCTTCACTATACATTTTATAGCTGATGCGACTTATACTCCGGAGCGATTTATACACCGGAAAACACGGTAAATAATGGATTGGAATGATCATTGTACCATTATGTTGCTCTTTTTCAGATAAAAACTGCGGTAAAGTATGAGTTTTAAATGTATGACTCCAAATCTCTAGTCTGACAAGCCATCCTAAATATGTGAATATATCGTCTGGCCACGGTCCATGGGGCGAGATCTACCGTTATCTTCCATGCTATTGGCTAAACGACGTGAAGTACTCGTCCCTACGGATGTCAGTCAACGAGGCAGCCATCATAGAAAATGCAAACACATTATTTTTCTACATAAGGGACCTAAGTGCCTCTATTTGCTTTTGACTCAAAGAAAAGCCCAAGTCAGTTGATGCCAGTAAACAGAGCAGTCCGCCATTAAATCATGACAGAAGACAATAATGCATTATTGTTTATCTGAATAAACGCGCTGTGATTGGCTAGTCACAATAAAGTCTGGGGCTGCGGAGCTTCCAGTGGAGCATTGCTAGACAGACATGCAAAGCAAATGATCGACCAGACCAGGGGTCACCAACCTTCAAGGGTACTGAGCCAAGCGGGGCTACCAGCAGACCTTTGAACTGGAATGACTAAGAGTTAAACTAAACTTCATGCATAATAAACATATTTTGCTATTTTTTTTAAAGAAATGTGTTGTTTTAAAATCTATATAAATGTATTTATGATAAAAAACAGCAGCAGATATTCATTATTTACTTATGTATGTACCGGTATGTTAAACTTGTGCTATTTGGAGAAATGGTCAGAGGGCCCCTTATATGGTTCCCGGGGGCATCCGGTTGGCGACCCGTGGTCTAGATTGTAGTCAATCAAATCTCCACACACTACATCAAATACGGTGTAATCGGTATGATGTCGAGATTTAAGAGTCCGGAAACATTCAGCAAGCATTTAACCATGTAACACTATGATGGTCCTGGAAATTTTAGATTTTCATCAAACCCAAAACTTTGATTTCCTTTACCCTCGAGTTCCATCCCATCCATTTCAACAATACAACATTGGCGCCTCCACCGTTAAACAACATAAAATTAGTCTGACAACCTGTTTGTGTCAAAGCAGTTTTATCAACTCATCATTCATCACTTTGATACAGTCATCTATGTTAGACCCTGAATGAAACAAAGTTGTCAGCAGATAAAAGCCTACCAGGAAGAAGATATAGAAAATCATGATAAAAAATGAAAACACTCACGTTTGACTCCGTAGAGACTTCTGTGACTGGAAAAGACCTGAAGGAGAAAGAAGATATTTTCCAGGTAACTAAACAGCAGTAACTTTGGTGAAGTCTCTTCTCTGGAATCCAACCTGTTACACAGATGTGCTGGAGTCAGAAGGGACCGACACCAGCCGGGCCCTTAGCTAAAGAGTAAAAACGCAGATTTATTCAAAAACTCTCAGAAAGCTGTCCACAGAAACAAAAAAACTAATAAAACAGAAAAATGTGTTTCCTTTGTGAAATAAATGAATGAAAATAATACATATATAATGAACCAAGTTATCAGCAGACTAAATATTTCTTCAATATCTTATTATTTTTACATTTTAGATAAAACATTTATCATCCTGAATCATTTCACTCCTCATCCACTTTACCATCAATGACAAATCCTGCTGCTAGCCAACTGTCAGCTGCTTTTAGCCCTTTCCCTCAGCAACAATGGCCACTTCCACAGAGGAACTAAAACAACTTCCTCCATTCCATCACAATAAGTCATAGCAAAACATAATAATTATCTAAATTGTTCTCAGGTAAAAAAAACAAAAACTAAACAAACAACAACCATTTTAGAGGTTTCTGGTGTTTTAAGGCACGTGTGAATATTTTAGACTCTTATTTTGAAGGGTTAAAAGAGACCTGTCAAGGATTTTGCCAAAAGACTCAGATTCCAGGGCACAGGAGAGTTCGCCACCCCTGGATTTTCTTTGTGAATTTTTTCCCCTTTAAAGTCTCTTTCCGGAGTATTTCTCTTATCTGATGGTACCGTCTAGTGGCTGAGAAGCATATCACACAAAAAGTCTCTGGAACAGCTTTTTTAAGATGGCGACTTTAAGTTTCTGTTTATAAATGTGCTTCTGTAGCAGACAAGCAGAGTAAAACAGGTTATTTCACAAGCTTTATTCTCATATCATGCTGTGTTTTCATACAGGTCCTTCTTAAAAATTAACATATTGTGATAAAGTTCATTATTGTCTGTAATGTACTGATAAACATGAGACTTTCATATATATTAGATTCATTACACACAACTGAAGTAGTTCAAGCCTTTTATTGTTTCTAATATTGATGATTTTGGCGTACAGCTCATGAAAACCCAAAATTCCTATCTCAAAAAATTAGCATATCATGAAAAGGTTTTCTAAGCAAACTATTAACCTAATCATCTGAATCAACTAATTAACTCTAAACACATGCAAAAGATTCCTGAGACTTTTAAAAACTCCCAGCCTGGTTCATCACTCAAAACCGCATTCATGGGTAAGACTGCCGACCTGACTGCTGTCCAGAAGCCCATCATTGACACCCTCAAGCAAGAGGGTAAGACACAGAAAGACATTTCTGAACGAATCGGCTGTTCCCAGAGTGCTGCATCAAGGCACCTCAGTGGGAAGTCTGTGGGAAGGAACAAGTGTGGCAGAAAGCGCTGCACAACGAGAAGAGGTGACCGGACCCTGAGGAAGATTGTGGAGAAGGACCGATTCCAGACCTTGGGGGACCTGCGGAAGCAGTGGACTGAGTCTGGAGTAGAAACTTCAGTTGTGTGTTATGAATCTAATATATATGAAAGTCTAATGTTTATCAGTACAAAAATAATGAACTTTATCACAATATGCTAATTTTTTAAGAAGGACCTGTATATTTATATTTTAGAGACTTTTCCATGAAAAGTTCATCAACTCTGCATCAGCCAAGGTATTCCTTAAATTTGAAGCGGGTAAGCGGTAGTCTAATGCTGTTGTTAGTTCTGGTAGGCGTTCGGTTTCCTATTGCACTGCGCTCTGCGGGGCAGGGGGTGTGCGTAGCAAAAAAAAAAAGATGTATTGCTTACATTTTGTCACAGTACATGATAAGTTAATCGATCACTTTTATGGATTTCTGAAAAATCATACATCATGTCTGAAAGGAGAAAACTCCAGAAAGCAACTTTAATCTATAATAATAAAAGTTAAAGTCCCAAAGTCATCATCACACACTGCTGACATTCGTCTCCACATTTGACCCATCCCATGGATGTGTCAAGTGATGAGTGGCAGCAGTACTGCGGGGAGTGGTGAGCTGCGGCGGGAACTATTTGGTGGTTTAACCCTTCAAATCCAACCACTTAAAGCCTAGAGTCGAGCAGGGAGAAGTTTGGTCCTATTTTTAAAGTCTTTGGTATGACCCGACCGGGAATCGAACCCCAATCTCCCAGTCCCAGTGTGGACACTCTACCACTAGGCCACTAATAAGAATGTTTTTCTTTAATATGTATAGACATGTATAACGGCCCACCAGGCTAAAAACATTTTTTGATATGATACTTTAAAACTGCTGAAACACATTGACAAAAGCTAAGGCAGTAGTAAGAATAAAAGAGAAGTCATGCTAATACCTTAATTACTCCATTAAATGTAAACAAACAACAGACAACAAGGTTCGGGACCTGATTCATGCAACGCCACGGGAAGAAGTCGCTAATGTTTCAACAGGTCTGGCTAACCACAACTTCTATTTATGCCATTTCATTTTGTCTTACATTCGTTTTAATACTACTTCTGTAGTAGCCTTTGTCGTGTTTAGGTGTATACACAATTCTATGACAAAACAACAGTAATAAAGAAACAAAATTGGCTCTTGCCAGCTGCAAATCCTCCACCAGGGGGCAGTAGACATGACTAGACATGACTATGGCAAATTTCTGATAAAAACACTAATCTGGATGCTTTAAGGTGAGAAGTGTTTAGAAAAAATTAAAAAAAAAATGGAAATAATATTCATTTACAACAGCTGAAAATAAAACAGATTTTTTGTTTTTATCAGAAACATGGCAATCAAACGAGGGCCTTGATGCTCTTACTCGAAACTCCTTCATACGTTTAAACCCCGTGCACTGCAGTTCATCTAAAATAAACAGAGAGTAAACAGACGTAACAACTGAGGAGGGAGATGATAGGGAGGAGACATGAATTTAAAAAGGAGAGAAATAATGGAGAAGTATAAAGACCTGATCAGATAAACGAGGCGAGGCTGTTTGGAGATGTGGAAATTTAAACGAGGTGAGCCTAAAAATCACAAGTAAGAAAACATTTAAATAATTCTGATGAGCTGCAGGTAGGATTGTCACGGTAACCGGTATAGCGGTAAACCCCGGTAAAAAAGTTGACAATAAAAATAACCGTCCAGTTTTTAAAAAACTATATTATCTCGGTGGGTTTACCGTGGCCGTGGTTTCGGCGCGATGACCCTTACCAGCCACCGTCGCTTCAGCTGAAGTTCCCGCGGCGCGCACACGCACTTTTTAGTTTGCAATGGCACCAAAACTTTGAAGCTGAAATAATGGCCGAAGGAGGAGACGGCAGCGCCCAGGACATCCATCCGCCCTCAAAGAAGACTAAATCGGAAGTATGGGCATATTTGGGATTTCTGAAAAATGCTGAGGGACAGTTAATAGAAGACTGCTATCCCGTTTGCAGAACGTGCAGGAAACAAGTGTCTGCAAAAGGTAACACTTCGAATCTAATGGCACATCTGTGTGACGATCACCCACGTCTCTACAGCCAGTGCAAGGTAAGATAACATTAGCATTTTAGCTGAAATGCATGACGTGAGGACTTTTGGTTGAAAGAAAATGCAACGAGTCACTATATACTGCAGCCGCAGCGTCCTCTGGCAGCAGTTAAACCGTGTCACAGACACCCTGTTGCTGGATGAAGCATCTTATTTGTTGATGATGAAGAGAAATATACAATTAGTTCCTTGTCATTGATTTGTTTACTTATTCAATGCCATTTATACTTGAACATTTGGATTTGATTACATAGTGTAGTAGTTATTTTAGTAATTTGTTTAAAGTGGCTATTTGTTTTAAATACATATTTTTTAAGGTTGACTTGTACAGCGCTCAAGTCAAGTGTGGACTGGAGTTTTAGATTTTCATTTTGATAATGAAGAAAACAAGTATATGAGAAAACAAGTGGTGTTTCTTTGATTTGTTTACATATTGTTTATGTTTTGAATGTTTGGATTTGTATCATTTAAACCTGCACTGACTACTGTAACATGTTCCAGAAAAATAAGCTATTTGTTCCTTTACTTGTGAAAAGTTGCACTTTTGCTAAGGCTTTGTGTTATTTTAGGTTTAATAAACACTGTTAAACCTTTTCAAAACTATTTCAGTTTGTGTAGAACAGGACTTTCAATGCTTTCTGAACATATGCAACACCGTTTAAAAAATACCGCGATAATACCGAAAACCGTGATAATTTTGGTCACAATAACCGTGAGGTTAAATTTTCATACCGTGACAACCCTAGCTGCAGGAGAAGAGAAGAAAGCGGAGGACGAGAAAGCAAAGTGTGAAACATTGAAAGGGGTTTAGATCTCTGGACTCCTCAATTACCAAATTCCTTTGGCAGGATAAACCTCCACGAATTAGCTTAAAACACTTCAGAAGACCAAAGGAGGACTAGATCTACCCAACTTTTATTATTATTTCTTAGCCAACAGGCTGCAATATATACCAAGATGGTTGCAAGATAACCCACTAGATGAGTCCTGGTTAGATATAGAACAGACACTTTGCAATATGATAGAGCTTTCAGACTTACCATTTATTAGCTCAAGCATAAGAAAACATGAAAGCTTCAAAAGTATTAGTATCAGCACCTCTCTGACAGCATGGTGGGAGTATCTTAAAATGACCGAGTCTTCACTAGTACCATGCAGACGCACACATATCTGGAATAATCCTGACATTTTGCAAAAGAACAAAATGATGAACCTTCCGGACTGGAAAAATAAAGGAATCCTATACCTGGAACACATTATTGAAGGATTGGACTTCATCCCATTTAATAGAATAGTCTCCCAATTTGGAATGGATAAGAATAGCTTTTTAGAATACCACCAAATTAAATCTGCAGTCAAACAAAAATTTAAGCTCAATAAAATAGAATTACAAACACCACCAAGGGTATTAGACTTCTATAATCTCAACCCCCCCAAACTACTGTCTAAAGTATATAAGACACT